ACTTGCCAGACCAGGCCTCTGTGTTCGGGTGCACAATTAACTCTGACTACTCTACTCGGGTTTAGGGCTTCGGGATTTGAGGTTTAGGTTTTTGGGAGCAAACAGCTGGCTCGGGTCACAAGGGCTGGTTTGGGGTTTCGACACGCACACTCGCACAACGCAGGCACGGCTTCATGGGTTGAGGGCTTGGGGATTTCGGGTTTAGGACTCTATTTAAGGGTTCGATAGCAGAGGTGTGTTTAAGGACTCTGTGAGGGTTCTGTCATGAGAGCGGCCTTGACATAGAAAAGCACCTTCAAACCCAGAGAACCCTAAATGAAGGGTGGCCTCATGTATCCGTAAGAACGTGGACAATGGCGTTATTCTCTCTCTCTCTCTCTGCTTTAGAGACATCTTTCCGAACAAGTGCAATACCCCAAGGACAAGTCAAATGCATTGCGTCAAACAAACAGTTTGTCACTGGACTCACGTCTTTGAGACACTAAACCCCAAACCCCCAAACCCTCAACCTTAAAGTACCCTCAAGCCCAAAACATGAAATCCTACGACCCCAAAGCCCTTATTGACTATCGCTGCCACTAGCCTTCACACTCGTCTTGCTACTACTATTTCTGTGATTATTGCTATGATTAATTCTACTGGTCCAGTATCCTTGGGAGCTAAAGGTTAACCTTTGGGAGTATGTAGGGATTAAGATTAATTATAGTGCCCCACCCAAAAAAACGTTAAAGGTTACCTAGTCTACTACTAGCAAATTAGTATACAAGTCTGTGCCTCGATAGTTGTCCTTGCTGCTGCAGGCGGCGTCCTCGCAAAGCCCGGGCTTTCAGGCGGATAAGGAACCCCAAAGTCATCAGCCCCAAATCAGGGATCAGGGTTTTAAGGGCTTAGGGATGTTGTAAGTTCTGGGCTGTTGTGGAACCTCAAAGGAACGAATTTGAAGCCATGAAGACTGCCCTGGGTTGAAGCCACCAACATGTCCGGATACGTGCTAAAGGAGCACGAATGAAGCATAAGCGCAGTCTTGTTCCGGTTCCTACATTCGGAATGATGTCGTGCATAGGCTCTGAAGGCTTAGTACCATCACAACGATGCAGTCCACGTAGCGTTCGACTAGAATCCACCTCCCCGAAGCGCCATTGTGACTAGTCCGGCCCGCATTCCCAAACTGCTTGAAAACTCCGACCTGCCCTCCAATAGATCGAAAGCAAGTTTCGAGGAGCTTTAACGCAGCTGCTTTTGTTTGCGATGATTCTGGTATGAACAGTCCCTGCTACAATCTGCAGATTCATGCCACTAACCTGACCATGGGAACGGTCGGACATGGCTGTTCGGCAACTGATCTGGAATTTAGATGCTCAGAAACCTCTCTCCGACAATTTCCTCGAAGATTTGGCTCGATGAGAGGAGAACGATTGCAAGGCGGAAGGATGACGGATGACGGCTGTGAAAGGCTTCTCGGTCTGGTCTCCCGATTTTCCGAAATATCCGAAACCTTAATCCTCAGAAACCCTTCAAATGCCAAACTTTGCCCTACACGACCTATTGGCCGACGAGTGGCCGCGAGCCCCTGACCCTGATTAAACCTTCCCTCGTGCCCGAGCCAAATAGATGAGGATAGTTGGACGCGGACGAAAACTGTGGGATACTCTTATCGATCTTTCCGACCCCTATGGTACACAGCCTTGACCCAGGGCATCGTCACATGCTCATCTCTCGGAGTCGGGGTGGACTCCTGCGACCAGAACAGATGACAGAGTTTTTACCTGTGAAGATGGCGACGACCAGGGCCATTCGTTTGCGGTTCATATATGTATTTATATATATATATATGTACATATATGTAGAGAGAGAGAGAGAGAGAGAGAGAGAGAGAGAGAGAGAGAGAGAGAGAGCTGGTTTAAGGAATTTGGTTGTAGAATCTAAGAGACGAAGGGGTTGCAGGGGTTTGTCGTCGTAACTAGGGCCCTTTTGTGTGGGACCTTCTTCTCCTGGACACAGCCTGGCTTTCGAGTTTCGGCGTACAGTATATCCTTGCAAAATATGTTGTAGCATAATAACCATATAGTGCATGTAAATTACAGTATAGCTCAGGGACGAACATATTCCTCCGTTGATGGGGCTCCGTCATCGAACTTGTCTCGGGGGGTGGAGAGGGGGGCGGTTCTTGCTCATAGGACATGGAGGCACAACAGTGGGATCGTACTCTGCTGAAGCTGATGAAGGATCGGGAACTCTTCATTTCAACCGCTTCATCCACAGAATAAGTGTCTAAGCTCCAGCTGAAGCAACAACGGTTTTACCCAAAACGGCACCTTGACCAAGGGTATCGTCACCTTCTCCTCCCTCGGCGTCGACACGCACTCCTGTGATGCGGCGTATTGATTTGCCTCCAGTCCATGCATCACTGTCCTAAAGCTGCTATTCCACTCGTGTCCCTGAAGAGACGACTTTTTTCCGGCGGGATCCTCATGAAACCCTTTGTCCCGTGATATAGGAGCCTCATAGTAATTAGAATAGGGGCTTTGGGGCCCTTTCTACTATAATTATAACAAGGAGCCTCCAAAATAGTGTAGGTATTTCGCGAGGCCCCTGCATTAATCTTTTAGGCCCGAGGCGCTCGTTGCTCAGCCTGAGGAACGACGAGGATAAATGTGAACCCGGTTGCATGCAGCAGCGATTGGGTCGAGGAGGTTCAAGATGCAACGATGCGGCAGGGAACAACAAAAGCATCAAGCTTCGCAATCACGAGATATGGGCTTACGCCAAACCTCAAGCAATGCTGCGGTAAACTCAGAACCCGACATCCCTAGACATAGACTTAGACATGCACCGGAACAAGTCCCTAAACCCTGGATCCACCTTGACCCACGGCATGGTCAAATTCTCGTCTCTGGGTGTCGGTGTGGACTCCTGTGATGCACCCCACCCACGGAAACACCACGGTTCAGGGATTAAGTTAGGCCCAAACATGTTAGAGGGGTTGAGGTCTAAGGTTTGCTGCTGCCACTTCTCGACTTGTGAGTACAGTACTGTAGGAGTTGGAGTTGTGGTGCCGACCGTCATGATTGAAGTCGCAATATCCCCGCTGTGGCGGGCCAGCACTTATCCGGGGCTTTGACCCATTTGCCTGGTGCCTTGCATGGGGGTCCGTGTCACCTGACCTTCGGAGACCCATTGGAGCATTACCCCGGAAGTCCGAACTATATGGCCGACGTTACTGCATGTGCACGATGTGCCGCCGCCAGGCACATGTCACTCCGCACAACAACATATTGAGATGTTGCTGCTATACCTTTCGTCGCGCTTTTGATTCCCGAACCATGACATGTATCATCCGATGATGCGTCAAGCCTGGACACACTGAACCCACAGGCTCTCTACAAACAAACCCGAACCAAAGTCCTTGACCGGCACGCTGGTGATCGTCACGCTGGGTCGACGCTTGCCCAAGTCGCCCTTCTTGGCCTCTTCACTATTCTATTCGTAGGAACATGCCAGGAGTACCTACTAGCTGGCTGACGCCATCCGTGCTTCCCCAAAATCCTTTCGCACCCGCTTGTGTGTGGGAGAACTTGGTGTTGCTCTGGTTGACATATCTTCTCGGGGTACGGAGTGCATGCCTCCGCCTTTCACGATGCCGCTCTGCTAGCCGTAGTTCTACAGGGAGCACCCATCTGATCTTGTTGCAAGGCTCAGCCAGCTGCAGCGATTCAAAAAAGACACGGGATGCAGGCGGAACAAATCTTCGCCGCGAGCCCTCGTCCGTGGTTAGATAACGGGCATTGCTACTGCTTCGGTTCGCAGCACGAAAACACGGTGTGGAACTCAAATCAAAGGCCGCCGCTGCCGCCGCTTGCACTAAAGGCCAAATTCCGCAACTACCTACACGCCCTAATTCCTCAAGCATTCAAAAGCTGTAAAGCCGAAAGAAGCCTTAACGGCGATCTATACCTTCCCCGAAGGCCTGCCAGGTTTGGATGTCAAGCATCGCCTGCACACAAAGTTAAGGGTGGGAGTGGCTCTTTCTTTTCACTCAGGGTCGTCTAGGGTCGTCTTTGTGACGGATCGGGAGCGTTTAAGGCTTTGTGGCACGGAACTCTCTAGCGGGCGCAGAACCCTTCAGCGTCAGAAACTGCAACGCCTCGGGAGAGCACGCAAAGATCGAACCTCAAAGCCTATGTAGACACCTCCGCGGACCCAATAGGTATGAGGCCTACTTGGTATGCGCGCATAGGCCGTGCACACTCAGCTCAGTGAGTTGATGCACTGGTGCACTATAGTCCTTGAAATTGAGAGCGCCGCTCGTAATTGGTCCTGACAGTCTATGCCTTTTAGCTTCTCTTCATCGCAGCATAACTCCTGTCCAGCAGTCGGGCATACATTGCAAACATGTCTGAATCATTGAAGCCTTCCCCACAAGACATGCCAAGTGAAAGAGCGTAGAGAAAGAGAGAGACACGCGCGTGCATGTGTGTATATAGATATATGTAGGCTCAAAAAGTAATGAACCTTCGAAGAGATGAATCGCATAATTTACATGTGCACACATATGTATACATGCATAATATGCATGCACATATACATATACATGTATATATACATATATATATATATATATATACACACATATATATATACACACATACACATAATACATGTATACATACATACATACATGCATACATACATACATAGATACAGACATACATGCACACAATCATAAGTAAATAGGCACATACTGTTACATACATACATACATACATGCATACATATGCGTACATACATACATAACTACATGCATCTGTATATCATATGCGTGTGTAGAAAGGTGCCGATGCCGCAAATGCACGTAAACTAGTCGTGCTTCACCCTGCAAAAAGAAGCCACTGGCGTGTGCTCAAGAATCCTTTTCTCCGACGCCGCGGGTTGCGGTCTACATGAGCCCTACGCGGCCCCAAAGCTTGGACCCTGCCGATGGATATCCTCATCACGGCACGTCACCGCATCGTCACGCCTGACACGGAAGTTTCGAGTTTCGAGGCTCTGAGATGAGGGAGCTAAGGGAGCACCTGAGGGTTTAGGGTTCTTGTAGACCGACAATCATGAGGAAGCACAGCAGGTTATAGTTATAGTGACCCATGCCAGGAAGATGAGTCGCCCAATTGATTTTTACTTCAGTGTGCAGCCTGCAACATGAAACCCAAACACTTACCAAAGCTGGAGCAGCTGGAGCAGATTTCGTGCTTCAGTGTAATATCCAAACTTGCCCAATACCGCCCCACAGAACTTACCCAGAGTAATGCGGAAAGAAAGACCCTGAACCCTAAATCCCAATGCCCCTATAAGCCTTAATCCCAGAGAACCAAGGAGCCGTAAGCATTCGGATCCTCAAAGAAGTCCAGGAGTAACTGCTCGTCCCGGGCGGTCGCTGGGAGCCCGTTTTCCAACTTCAGTGCCTTGGGAGAGTTTAAATAAGGTTGACTAGAGTAATATATTATCAATAGTAATGTTATCATGATTATATTTCAGTATGATGGTTCATATTATTGTAATTTATAAGGTTTCGACTCGCTCAACGGAGGCACCGCTTCATAGGGTCAGGCTTCAGGGTTTAGCAGTCCACGGCCGATACTGAATCAAAGGCCAAAGTGTCAGAACCGTACCTATAAATCATGAAGAGCGCAATGGCTGAAAGGTCGGGCCTTGGCGAGCTTCGAATGTGTCTGCATCTGCAGTCAATCTAAAAAGTTGTCTGCATGAGGGACAAACATGCAGCTGGCTAAAGCCATCTTAAAACCTACGGTTAGGAGCCCGAACAAAAACGTACACGTGAACTTTTGAAGGCAGATCCCGTTGTCCTGGTCATTACACATTTGGGTACCTTGACTGCGCGCTAACTTGCCGTGCGGCGATCACTTTCGCAGGAGCTGTGTCGGAAGTCTGCTCCACCACCGACTGCCTGCGCAGTGGGTTCAGAAGGATGCAGTACAGCATAAGAAGGCCTTGACAAGTGGATTAAGGTGGTATGTAGTACACTCACAAAAGGACTGTAGGGAACATATCACCGCCTGAATCTGCGAGAAATCACAGGTTTCTGTAGTAAACTCCAGTAGCCTGGATCCTACATAAACCTGGTCGGGGGGAGAAGCTGTTTTCGGACTGTACATACCTTGTGTGGGAAGCTTTAATACCTCCTGAGCCTGAATGAAGCATGAATCCTGCTTCAAAGCTTACATGAGCTTCAAGCCCTACATGGGCTTGAGTTCCAGTTCTACACGACCCTAACCATGAAGATCCTACTAGGATCCTTCTTTGGGAGAGGCTCTTAGCTTGTGAATTCGACTCGGGGCAAATTGTTGCACCGCAGAAGGAGCTGCGTTGCAGGGCATAGGTATTATTGTCCTGTCAACCTCTGACATCCTTCTACCGAAGCCTGAACCACGTGTCACAACAAGGCCGGCATACCGCATACTCCAAAGCCCAAAATACTACATCCTCAAAGCCCTGACACCACCCCAGAGCTACAAAACGTCAAGTGGCTTCACCGTCGGTGGTCGCGGTGCAGTGCCCCGTGCTTCGTCATCCCCTTAGCGGTGGGCTCAAGGCTGCCTCGAACTACAAAACAGCTACTTTGTGGTGGGGCCCCTAGAAATTCTACATTGGGGCAGTATTATATGGTCTACAAGAAGAACCTACAAAAAACAGGTCGGTGATGTAGTTTAAGGTTTAGGTACACGATACTACAAGGACCCGGGTCATGTTTCACCTAGTTTCAGTCGAGTTTCGGATAAACTATATGTTTGGGTGTTTAGGGGTAGGAACGTAGGGTTGAGGGAGTTCAACTAGTTGGTGGGTCTTACTTAGGCGCAACCCTCCCAAACACTTATAGCCACCCCAAAGTCCTTCAAAGCAGGTTGAGGGTTTACGCTCTCGCAACTCGGACACAGACGAGGTTCTCGGTGCGCAGTCGGACTAAAGTAGTGGCTACGCCGAGTCAAATCAGCTGAAAACGACACTAACACAAGGTTGAGGGTTTAGAGTTTGGGCTTTTGTTTGCCTCCCGTGGCTAGGACAGGACGAGGCCCGCAGAGCAGGGCGGTACACGCGTTAGGGTGCAGGGTTCGGGCACCACATCAGGGCCCTCAAAACATTCCAACCCTGTTTCGTAAACCCAAAGAAGCGCACGGTTGACTGCTCGCATACTAAGCTATACCTGCCCCCGGCTGCTTGCGCTCTTCTGCGCTCAGATTACCAGATCCTTCTCAACAACCATAATCCCGACACTGTTTTGTTCACGTTGATTCCCCTCCCCCCGGACAAACTAAGGTCCGAGCCCGATATGAAGAGCTCCCCCTAAAATAACCCTGAACCCTCCACCCCAAAGCCGCAACCCTCAACTACTAAGCCCTCGAACCCCCCAAACTCTGAAGCCCCTCTTTGCCTGTGTCAGCTCCACCAAGCCCTGCTCCCATGAAGCGCCGCTGTGACGGCTGTGTGGTTCCTCGGGTCAGGGGTTTCAGGGCCCCTTGTCTTAAGCGTGTTCAGGTCCCGGGTCTCTCTCTCTGTGCAGAGTGCAGAGTTTCTTTTACACCCTTGCTGCCCTTCACCGTCGGATGATGCGAATCATACAGATGCGAACGAAAACGACGACGGACACCTTACAAGCCCTCCACTAAAACCTCTTGCAAGACCTTGTCAAATCGCATCTAACCATGCATACCGGGGTGCGCTCGGGCAGCACTGTCTGGGAGGCTGTGCTTTCTTTGGGCAAGGGCCTCCGCACTGCCACTTTCTTGGCCCGGAAGGTAACTGCAGTGCTATATAGGGGCCTTACTTGGAGGATCATGGGACTTAGTAAGTAAGGTTATAAGTACCTTAATTAATTGGGGTTCTAAGTATAGTTACCCTAATCATAACCCTAGTTACTAAGTCCCATGATCCTTTAAGTAATCATGAATCATTAGAACAGGGTTTTGCGGCCCAGTCATGAATCATTAGAAAAGTGTTTTGGGCCCCACTATACTATAGGAACCCCCAACATAGTATTGATCACTATTTCGGCCCCTATATAACCGCAAATAGGGGAATACAGCGGATGAGGATAGGGCCGTATCTGCGGAGGGCGCATTGGTTTGTGTACGAAGCCTTCTTGGACACATACTGACAACACTAGGTTTCAGATTCCCGCACAGATGCACCAAGTAAACAACAAACAATGTGTTTAGCAGTAGGCATTCTATTCTACACGCTATACCACAATTACAATATGAACTGTAACATTCAATAATATATTCTAGCGTAGAATCATAAACTATCACTCAACAAGGTGTTTCTAGTTTTTGGCCTTAACCTTGCAGCGTCACCTCGACTTTCTACAGCTGGAACTCTCACGAATGCCAGCAACAAGGGACATGCAAGCGAGCTCATCTCACCGTATAAATCCAAACCCTAGACCCTTTCTTTGAGTCACGGACTGGGGCCACCAAAATTCACGATGCATCGTTTTGATGCAGCAGGTTGAAGGAAGCTGAAAGAAGTAAGGCAGTGAGACTTGGATTCAAACGGTAACATAGCCTGACCTGGTGTAGTTGTGCCATGAGGGACAACCTCGAGCTTAACCACTAGATCACCACACACAGGTTCGTCGGCAATATGCGCAGGAACACACAAGTGCTCTTGGATATCATCGCATGTCATAATTCCATATGCACGATGGGTAACAGGTGTAGGCAACCTCAGATTCGTAATGCCCAAAAGCCATCGCCCCAAACACCAAAGACCTTACCATCACCCTCAAATTCAAAACTCTTAAACCCTAAAAGCCCGACTCTGAACCCTAAACCCGCTTCACTTCACGGCCTCTCTGGGCGATAGCCAACTTGAGCTCCCTTCGCTGTGTTGCCACTCCTTAGAGAGGGACTCGAGCATCCTGTAACTAGAGATCCCTTGAGACAGGATCCCCGCTGCAATTGTCCCATCAGTCGTTGACTTCGAAGTTTTGGGCAATTCTGGTTCCTGTTGTCACAACCTCGACAGTGCGAGCTCAGCCGTATGTATGGACATACTTGCTGCAACAAGTGCGAAGAAGCTGACGACTCGACATGCATCCGGATTCCCATACCATGACTCGTGCGATTTTTAAACCCTCTTTGTGTACACGCGGCCCGGGGAAAGCATTCCTTGCACAGCTCCCCAAACCAAACATAAACAAGACCTTAACCCCAAAGTCCTGATCGAACCTCCAAAACCGTTGGCCGAGGAAGTGTCTCTTCGCTTCGCGGGATACGAAACCTCGGATCTTCATTTCTTGCGACAGATTGGGGTCACTCATAAAATGTTTCAGAAAGGTCTTTAAGGCTTTGCCTGAGATGTGGTTTTGTTATAGGGCTTATGGGCTCTCTGCCTTTGTAACCGAAGGCGCTAGAAAAAGGCGGCCTTGCGGGGGCTATAGGATTATGGCTTTGGCCTGCAGGGTGCAGGGTCTGTTGATTTCCGGTTGTAGCACTTAGGTTAGTTTAGGAGGCATGGGCTCAGGGGCTCAGAAACATTGGCTCGTGGTTTCAGTCTTGGAGGTGTGTGGTTATGGCAGTGGTGGCACTAGTAAGTGAGAGCAGTGGTCGTCGTGGTGATGGTCGTAGAAGCAAATTTGTTGCAGCAGCAAGAGCATGCAAGCGTGGTGGTGGCGTTGGCACCGTGACTGAATCACTGTACATGCGTGAAATCGGTGCAGAACTGCGCGCTAGGGATAGTGGCTGCCACATCAATAAGAGGCAATAACTCTGATCATCAGCAATGCCTCAAGGAACAAAACCCTCCTGCCGCACCAGAGCTTCAATGTTTTTTCTTACACCAACTGCTATAGGGGCTCTTGGCCAGGAGTTCTGGAAAGCCCGAGGTCACGCGCAAAATACAAGGAACCTCGCAGTTGCCAAGCGTTGCTGCAGCTATGCCTGCCATGATAACACAAACACTACAGCCCCTTAACCTCCCAACCCCTTAACCTCACAATAACAGTTAGACTTAATATAGGGGCCTTAATGGTTAAAACAGGGTTTTGGGGCGCATTCTAGTACAACTTTAATGATGAACCCCCAAAGTTATACAGTTATAGTATTGGTAATCATGTCGGCCCCTATATGTGAAGCTTTCTCTGTGGTCCCCTTAGCAGCCTCGCGAGAAATGCGTCTAGGAGGCCAAACCCAGCGAGACACGTCCCAGGCCGGGCCTTCCATTCCTCAGCACATCTCGGAGTTTCCGAACAAATGGGGCACCTAATTTTTGGGTCCTTGCAATAAGGATCCTACTATTTCGGGCACTATATTAGGCTACCCTACTTTCGGAAACTCCCATTTAGCATCAGCAGGGACTACCTCTGCTCCGATGTAGGTCCTTTTCTGGGATAACTTGGGCCAGGGCTGGGCCTTAATATACCAACAAAAAACAGCCAAGACAAGACACTGGGTTGGAGACTTTTTATGTAACGTCATTTTGGGTGACCTGCGTTTGGGTCCCCAATCCAGCTACAAGGAAGAGTCAGCGTTATAGGGCATTGCGGCCCTATTCTATGAATGAATCTGCTTCAGCCCAAGAACTTACTGACTTTTGAAGGGAACACACCAAATTTACGGTGCCATCCCATCCCCTCGAGACTTCGAGTGCGAGGGGCGGAATTTGATGTAGCCTCCCTCCAGGGAGTAGCCAGGTCGAATCTGTGACAGCTGGATCGCTTCGTCCTTCCAAAGCATGTGCTCGGCATTCTGTGTTCTAGTTTCCTGACAACAAGGACCCAACCATTTGGGCGCTTGTTCTCCGAGATTCCAACGTCTCCGTTCAAGCTTGCTCTGGCTCACTGTGGAGCTGGACGCAGTCAACTTTTGTTTACGACAAAAATATGTATATATATATATATATGTATATCTGTATATGTATATATATATATATACACGCAAGCTCGAGCAGACACCGTCCAACAGCCCATCGCTTTTATCAGGAATCCTTAGCCCTGACAACAGGAAAGGCAGGCCGTAAGGAACTGCGTACAAACGGTACTGCTACAGATGGAGCCAAGACATGCTCATCAACAAGGCATGACAGCCAATGACAAATTCATGTGCTCACATACATTGAAGTCACCTGCAGGCATTTACGAGTGCAGCGATCGTATCCAAACCTGTGCGCAAACAATATGACCCTACATGCATCGTATGTACGTATTTGCGCATGCATGCTTGGAGGTAGGTATGTACATATGCATGCATGCATGTATGAGGGTATGTCTACAGATATGCGCATGCATGCCACAAACATATGCATTTTGCCGCAAGCCCGCCATACATGTCATATGACATACAGTACATGCCTACCTACATTAACATGCTGGCTTCTGCCCTTCTGCTCATATAAAGCCATTCGGGCAAAATCTGCTTCCCTTACATGCCCTGTCTGAAGTCTAAAAGGACTACCATGAAGTTACCTGAACCCTAAACCCAAATTGCACCGTCAATAAACTGCGAGGGAGCGCGCCTCAGCTCGCGGCTGCCCAAAAAAGGAGCAACCTGTCAGTGCTTCTGGGGCACGGCCCTAAGCCTCATGTGCTAAAGAGCTTTTGCACTTTCGACCCTACCTACCAGCCTCCATTTCAGCTCCTTTTGCTGGTTACCCAATTTCCGGGTTTAGGGTCTTGCAACACAAAGCTGGTTGTGCCAAGAGGTATTGCGGTCAAACCGTGAGAAATGGCGCTGCGCTCGCTGAACTCTGCATGCGAGGTGGGCTCATTGAGCGGCAGTCGGGTGAACCCCGGACAAGTGAATCCACAATGTAAGCCCCGAAAATCCAACCTTCCGCGTTTAGATTTTGAGGACCTCCTGAGGTTGCAGCCTCGGTATCCTCAATGCTTATAGATTCTATCTTCTATACTCGGTCATCAGCAGTACTGCAGCTGTTGAGGCTGACTCCTCTACTATGTGAAAATATGCTCGGAGCGCCGCTACTCTCGCGTACTGCAGTCGAGTGCGACGGCCTTTGTGGCAATCAGCCGTGGCTTTGGGTAGCTCGTTGAGAAATACTTTGGATACAGGCCACATATACTACGAGAAGCATACTTGTATAATCAGTACAATCATTAAGATGTGTAAACTCGTACGTCTAAATTCCATTTTCCGTCGCACTTGGATGTCAAGGATGAACATACAAGTTCAACAGATCGAGCTGAGAGTCAAAAAGTCGCATTTGCAGAGCGACGTCAAACTATGTGCGATCAGCTGGAGTATGTGGCAGTCATTGTCAACTCACTTGGTGGCAGCTAACAATGACGAGACATCAATGACACAAGTTAACAGAGCCTCTTGTGTCAAAACGACCCACCTCAAATTTGACAATGACTGTCCCCCATATTAATGACAGTGACAGCTAAACAACACAATCAACTGGCAAACACAGGCTCGATGACGATGATAACAGCACCTGCCGCCTTCTTGACATCACCAACTTAACACAGCTTCTTGCGCCTAAACGCATCACATCAAATTGGACAATGACTGTCCCCATATCAAAGACAATGACAACTACATCGCATAATCAACTGAACAAAGCAAGGACAATGACGATAATGACAGAATGTGTGGTTTGACCTAACGAAGCTTCTTGCGCCAAAACAGGTGACATCAAATTTTACAATGACTGTCCCCATAGACAACTACATAGCATAACCGGCTGACAATAAGAAGAGGAAACATGTATGCTTAAGGACGGGCCAGCCGGAAAACACATCTCTAAAACATAGACATACATACATACGTACATATGTGTATATATATATATATATATATATATATATATAGACAGGTGCATACGTACATGCATGCATGCATACATTCAGCACAGAAACCCCCGAAAGCCAAGCCTGAAAGCCCAAACCCCTAATTTGGTTTCCCGTGTTGCATCACAAGAATGCCCAGCCTGTGACCAGCAGCTGCGCGCGCTTGGGGCACAGCACAGCTCGTGCGACATAGGTTCGCAAGTAGGCCTCGGGCACACCGGGGAGTTTGCAAATTCAGACACGCTCTGCGCGAGCTTTTAACCCGAAGGTTAAGCTGGGCCGGCATATGTGCATTTTGAGATATAGATGTACTACCACTTGCTCGGGTGCATGCAGCGTATTGAAGCGCACGCGTGGTTATCCAAAAACCATGTCGACTTGACGCTAATCAGTTAGAAACTGAAATTTCAAACCTTCTTGGGGTAGATGGGTTCGTTAATCACTAGTCCACAGTCTGGTGTGAACACCTGAGTCCCTTCGGATGCATCTGGGATGCATATAAGGCCAGCGCTGCGCCAACCGTCTGAAAAGCAAGGAAAGCGCATTGTTCAGCCTGAGCTCTGGCATTTAGCAATTTTTGAAGAAGAAATCGATTATGGTGGTTTGGCTGGCAATGACTGCAGAGTTTAGGAATCCGAGACAGGGCGACCCAGTTCACCCTTCTGAGAACATGGTGTTGAAACTGGATGGAGCAGGGATCTACGCTGGCATCGTTCAACTGCAGGGGCTGTGTGAAGAGCTCGGGGAGGGCAAGAAAAGCTAACGTTTGTCTTTACTACAGTTCACATGAGCAAAACGGCTATGCTCGCACACATGTGTAAGATGGTGCAGAAAGTAACAGACCTAGGAACTTGCAAAGCTTCGCCACCCTTCGTGCTCGACCCAGGACAGGAGGTGCGGTGCTGCGAACGCATTTCGAACTGTCGAAGTCCTGTAGACTCAAACTCTCATCTCATCCTCACCATGGGAGTTTCCGAAAACCGGGGACACCAATATAGTAAAGATGGATCCTTATAATGAGGCCCCAAAATGAAATATCCCTAGTATGCGGAAACTCTAAACCCTTATACAGCCCTTTAAAGGAACCCTTATAAAACACTGATAGTAACCCTTTAAAGGAACCGTAAGGTACCCCGAATTTGTGGAAAAACCACATTCGTTCCGTAACATGAAAGCCTTGCCAAGGTGACAGGCCAGCCGAGGCTGACAGCATAGGCCAAGCCCGACGATGACATCAGGGATGCGGCCCTTACTACGGTTGATGATGTAAATCCTGCATTACCTCAATGACCCTAGACTTTGGGAATTATGGTATATTCTTTGTTGTGGGTAATGCAGGATTGATATCATCAACCGTAACCGGGGAGCCGTGTTTAGCAACCTGCCCTGCGCTTTCGATTTTGTCTTGTGAACGTCGGAGGCATTGGCATTCAGCTATGGGGTTTGGACCCAGCATTACCAGCCCTTTGGATGGAGCCCTGTAACCCCGAATGGGCTAGTGGAGCTTTCATGTCTTGGCCGAGTAATCCGTAAACGCTTGCGCCCTCACGCGTTTAGTGTTTGGACTCGCAAAAAGCAAGGTATATCGGTAGTCAGCCAGAAACTCCTATCCTAGTGGTGTCTCTGTAAACTCGAGTCGGATCGATCCTGCAAAATCTGCTGACTCTTGGGGTTCGTGTACTTCCTTACAGTGGTTTTGGAAGCTCTGGCGTATTATGGGGTAGGGATCTTACTGCTTTTGATCATCTGTTTTCGCACTCCCACCATGCGCCGGCCATACAGTAAATACCTTGGCTTACCGAGGTGCCGGGCGGCAGCATCTTCTGCAGGGACACTTCGTACTTACTTTTCGAGTTGCGTGGTGTTTGCCCCGAACTTCGCGTCCCAGCGAAACATGTCGTCACAAACTGCCACAGAGTCTTCTCATCACAGGCAACAGAAGTAGCTTACGAACTACTTCAGGTCAGACCTCTAGTTTTGGGACCGCCGCTCTGGCTGCAGTAGAGGTTATATCGGGTGACAGCCAGGCGGCATACCCACGGCGGAGAGCCGTTTCAGGAATTTCATGTCGCGGTAGTCATGCAAGAGGACCATGCGACCTCCAACTAGGTCTGAAAGCTTTCACAGCCAGAACTCTCCTCAACTCTGACCTCTGAACGACTGGCCACAGGTCCACCAAAACAAGTTAAACCAAAGAGCCGTAGTGACGCAGTGATCGATATTATAGCTTCATTACAGTAAGTTGTAAGCTGCTGTACACCCCTTAGCTCCGCTCCCAATGCAAGCCTCTGGTTCGTAAATCTGTTTCCCTGAACAAGGCTTATGATTATGATCGGGTCTAACAGTGGGGTACCCCTTTTGCAGAACCCTTATGGGCCCCTGATAGGAACACTCATATGGGTAGTTGTCAAAATTAGGGTCCCTTTTTGGGTACCCCGAAATATTAGGTGCCGTATTAAAATAGAGACCCAAAGAGGGACCATAATTTTGACAACCACCCATATGACTTATGAAGCAGCGGTCAACTCCAAGCCAGTCGCCGCCCTTCTGCGGGGTCTTTTGGGGCGAAAAGAAGGATGAGCTCAAGGATGCTAGGGGCTTCAAGCCGCGAGTCAGGCTGTCAGGCGGTAAGGACGGGCTATATGATGGGGTTTAGAAAAGAGGCTATAGGGTCAAGGGTCTAGTGCTTCGGATCTCTCTTCTAAAATTACCGATATCGCGCCCGTTCTGTTTGTAGCAGCCCCCAGCAATAGATGCAGTTTAGACCCGTCCCCAATATGCAAGGAGATTGAGTTCTTGAACTTGTAGAGCAGATCCCAACAAGTCTGAGGGTTGGGCATTGGAGAACTACTTGAGTAAGGCCTTTAAAAAAGCCAGGGCAGTCCTCTCTACAGCATCCTTTAAGCTCGGAGCCGCCTCCCTCCCCTGTGAGGTATCGCCGATCTGCAGAAATGGCATCAGCATCGGCCCCACTTGCGAACCTCAGGAAGCGAGATCTAAACTTCGGGTAGTGGGATTCGGAGGTCCGGTGGGTCATGTAAGGCTTGTCTGGGTGGCGATGTGGTTTTCGAGTTGGGTTGACAGGGGCGTTCTTGGTGAACAAGCTTTGTAAACTTACTCGTTGCTGGACGCTGCTGCGATCTGAGTCTCTGCAGAGCAAAGTCGCACTAACTGCTGCAGTCATCATGTTTCAATGCTCAGCAGCGCAGGTTGAAACGTTCCTGAAGCGAACCCCCGCTTCAGGGCTACAATCTCTGCATCAACAGCTTAATAGTTGCCTATACTATGTTGGGGTTCCCTATTGCATACTGAACCCCAAAGCCCTATTCTAATTCTTAATGGTGCCTGAAGCGATGGTTCTCGATCACGTTTCTCCTTATCGCTTACACGCCGAGCGCAGGGCATCGATCGGCCCGGAAAAATCTGCCGTACGGGCCTTGACAATTAGACCAGAGTCTTGGGGTAGTTTCTACTAGAATGGTGGTATAGGGACCGCCCCCAAACTGGTACTGGTAATTATTACTAGGCTCCTATAATGCGCTACTGGTATCGAATCCTTTCCCATAAGCGCTGCCAAGTGGCTGCGCTGAGAGGGAAGTCGGGGGACGCACGGAAGCCTGGAGAATAAAGTGTGACGAACCAGTCGTTTTCCTTAGGGTTCCTTACTATCTTTTAACTAAGATATAATAATAAGTATAGCCCTAAGGAAAGCGCCTAGTAGTTGTTTGGGCCAGTGGTATATACTTTGGCTTTTAAAGCAGTCCCTATGTACGGTACCAGTAGGTGCTTCAGGGCCACAGTATATGCTACTAGAAGACTAAGAATAGTCAGGAGGCTGCTTCTCGCTCTCAGCTCTTCCGGAGCGGCCTCGTGAAGCCTAACGCCACGGTGTAGGATGTCGACTGGGTGAACTTCTGTTTTTTTCCCTCCCGCATGGCTGAAGGTAAAAGTTCAGCCCTATGCCTCCAGGGACTTTATATGGGAGGTCCTTGGAGGGATAGGGTAGGGTTTAGGAGTTTAGGCGCTCAGGGGTTTACCCTGGCCTGGTTCCTTTGCCCCAGGAAAGCATGTCGCAGCTCGGAACGAGCACATCGCGCCAGCTGCCAGCGTCTCATGGCGCCGGCACGGAAGGACCCGAAAGCCTAAACCCAAAACCATGGGACTGAAACATAAACCCCGAACACTTTTCGCTTGCCTTTAGAGGATGCAAACCCCAATTTGAGTTGTCTGCTGGTCTCAACCAAAACCAAAACACGATGACGCGGCGATCTTCGCATGACTGAGATACTGCTCAAAGATACATATACAATATATATATATATATATATATATATATATATATATATATATAAATATGGATGTGTGTGTGTGTGTGTGCGCAAATGTATACATACAGACAAAGATACATAAGAATACATATGCCAGCAAAATCGGGAATGGCAACGCTACGTTACTATGATTCCATCATCAAGCTACGGCTCAAGCTCAAAGGCGCAGGAGAAATGGCATCGCAGGCTAAACTCAGCATGAAGTGAATCTCGTGTCGGTACTGTTCGACCTTGCTCACCGTGACGTCTTGCTTATGATTGGGGATAGTTAAAGCTAGACCAGAGATTTCCATTTGCATGATGCAATTCTTGTCGAGATGGCCTTGTAGCGTCACCCAAACTAAGTGCTTCAAGAACTGGTCTGTGCTCTGGCGTATGCTCAATGGCCGTCGGCGGGTATGTTACGTCTTACGTTGTCACATGATGAGCCTTGCCACGGCTGCCCTGAAACGTCCTGAAACAGCAGTCATTAGATGTGTCGGCACTATTGCATTGCATGCTGCTCACATGTCAAAGCTGCCGCTGAAGTTAGCCATGGTGGAATTTGCTATTGCATATCACGCCTCAATTCGGCTGCTCACACTTGCTACTATACTTGCACTATCAGCATCATCTGGATAGCTTACTGTGGTCATCATCTGAAAATGTTTCTGCTAAAAGCAACTTCCTGACCGTCTTCCTTTCAATATGAGAAATGCCAACCTTGCGCCTTGCGCACACCTGGGAGAAAACCGATCTCCCGCCTTCTTCTGCCAAGCGTGGTCCAAGGCTTTTCGCGGCGCATGCGCCCTCAACGCTGCATCGAGAGCCTTCCGTCGCCGGCTTGTCAAGGGCTTTCGAGTTTCGAGGTTCTCCTCGGATTTGCCGATGTCCAGCAATGCATGATGGAGTCAGGGAACAGCACCGACCAAGCTGACTCACCTTCGCCGGCACTCTCTGTCCAGCTATCCCGGCCTCTTCCAGCTGCGATGACGAGGTTGCAGAGAGCAAGTGGTCCTCAAAACCATGCTAAAAACGGGTAGTTTCAGCCGCCGGGACACACATAGTAATGCATATATATATATATATATATATAGAGCTGTACATCTGCAAATTATTACAAACCAGAAGCAGCAACAACAAAATCATGAACTCCCTGCTACTAGCAATTAAGCCGGCCCCTGCCTCTGGATTCATGCATGCAAACACATCATGGCGCGTGTGTGTTCTGATTCAGGCGTCATGTGTTCCGAACTGTACGGTATGCGGTCGTTGAAGTACTTCGAAGCTCAGGCATACGCTGCGCAGGTACTTGTCCCCAATCCACTCTCAAGCCCTGAAGCTCATACTTTTACAAAGTCCCTTGACCCACACATATCAGACCCCATGCCCTAAACCTTCATTCAGAAGCGTCTGAACAGCAACGACTTGACTTTTGCTAAGATTCCGTACGCAATGCAGAATCCTCATATCATAAGCTACCCACCCATCACGAGGATAGAGTTCCAGTCCGCCAGACTCGACACTCTAGTCTCCCGGACCCGCAATCTGCTCTTAGCCCCCATAATTTAGGATTTAGTAGGGTTTAGGGGGTTATGGTGCCTAAAAATGGGTTTAGGGTTACCCCTTTTCTGCTCCGTCCTCGAGGTCCTTTTCCGCCATGCTCGCGGACTCCTCTCTTCGCCTCGATTCCGACATCTCTGCGGGTCTGTTAGGGTTCAACGCTCACACTCACGCAAGGCTGGCAAGGCTCCACCCTGACCTCTGTTAGGGTTTCGGCGCTCACACTCGGATAATCCTGTTAGGGTTTAGGGTTCTGAAGACTCAAAGCTTCAGGGTTCTGATGGGCAGAGCCCGGTGAGGATCGCACCCCAATTAGCCAACGACCGGTACTGGCGGCAATCGCTAGCTATGCCTTCTGCAGCAGTCCGAAGCCAAACCACCCTACACCAATCTGATCAACTTGGACATGCAAGATCAATCCGACACATGACGGTGACCGGTGGGCAGCAAGAATAATACTACAGGGGCCCATTAAATTATACCATAAATATCATAAGGAACCCCAAATAGTATAGGTAATTATTACAGCCCCTAATTATGTTACCAAGGTGAGCCCAAACTGTTTTTCCGGACTGCACTCTCGGTGACGGTTCGGAATCGCACATTAGGGCATGCTCGACAGCTGCTGGTTCTTGCAAGCTTCGTCTGCGAGGCTCAAGAAGCGGAGAACATCCCTGCTGCTAACTAATTCCCAGATAGGAGCTTCCGAGAATAGGGGACCTTAATGTAATACCCTAAATACTAGGATCCTTATCATAAGGACCCCGAAGTAAGGTACCCCTAATTTCGGAAACCCCCAGATAGGAGCTTCAGAAGAAGAACAACATTAACATGGGACACGAAGCTCGCATGAAGACGCCACCCCGCTAAGCTCCTGCAAAGCCGCCAAAGCCTACACCCTACACATAGGCAGATGCATATATATATATATATAATATATATATATATGTGTGTATATATATATATATATATACAGATTTAAATACAGAAATCAGCAAATACACGGCGCCCTAAACAAGGGCGGTGGAGGAAGTTTCACTGACCGCAGGAGCTTCAGTGCTAGAAGCCATGGCAGAGGCAGCCTGCACAGGTTGGTGCGTCTGGGGTTTGCTTACGGAGCTACAGGGTTGGTGGGTTTTGGCTTCCTACTCGGCGGCTTAGGTTCAGGGTCTGGGGGTCCGGTTTTTTGTTGATTTCATGCTTTCTTAAAACATGAATCCCCTGACCCCGAAATCCGCGCAGGAACCCTTAAAGGCCTTTGCCACGGTGAAGGTCACCGAGGGAGGCGTAGCCTCCACAAGGATGCGCCGTTCCAAACCCAGCCCGAAGAGAGCTCCTGGTGGTGAGGGCTTCGGAGCTTACGCGGTTCGGCTAGGGATTAGTAACTTTAAGGACTGGGCCTTTCTCGTCTTTTACGGGCCTCTTTTCCCCTTGCCGGTCTAGGGCAGGCCCTTCTGGGGTAGGCGAGATATGGTTATCCGTCGGCGAGGTGGGACCTCGAGAACCGAGACTCAAGGGGAGAGGCAACCACATAAGACTCAGCTAGACGCTACTAATATCCTTTGCATTGAAATACTGTGCTTAGCGGTGCCTAGTTCAGGACTTCAGGCATCATGGCAGCTACTGAGAACGCACAGCACGCAACCTTTATACGGGGTCCAGTGTGAGTTTGGGTTCCTTCAGGGTGTAGGGCCTGGGGCTGGATTTATAGGGAGGGTTGCTGGTTTCGGGGCGACGCCTTTCAGGCCAGGACTCCGATGTAGACAACCCCACATATCTAGGTCTTCAGGTTTACTGGTCCAGCTTGCTAGGTTGTCTATCAAAAGGCTGGCCTTTGCGATTGTGTGGGGTCTCGAAAGACCTCAAGTAGGAAGGCTGAATTAAAGCTTGCTCGAATACCAAGGGTTGCAGCTCTTGTATCCTGGTCCCGTCATTCTCTGACTTAGTTGAAGATAGCTGCTTGCAACCAGGAGTACCACACTCAACAAAGACTCTCACGCAGTACATGTAAGCACCTAGCAGATATCAAACAAACTTTGTTTCTGGTTGCTGCCCCAAAAGTTCTCTAAATAATTGCTAGTTTAGTAAAATGTTATTATTATAACCGAAGAAAAATACTCCAACTATGCATGAACCCCTGAATGCTAGTCGGCCCGACACCTTGAAGCCCCGACCAATCTCGCAGTGCTTCGCGGATCAGCTGTCAAACAAACCACTTGCGGGACTTCGGGGCCTTCGAACCTAAGAACTTAGCACAGGGCTCTATGCAGGTATTCAAGTATATACTTATGTATGGGCTACAACGTAGTTGCAGACCCTTTCCATCAACAGACACCACGATCCAAAACAACCAAAAACAACTATCAAGAAACCAAGAACCTTGCACTTCAAAACCAAAACCCTCACCGCCCCCAACTCCGAAACCGATCCGAAAAGTCCCAAAAGGAGCCCGGCGCCTTGCAACAGCCCGCAGGGAAGGGCCAAGTGCAAGGAGGTCAACTCATTCAGCTCTGACAGAATGGAAGCTTCCTGCTCCACAGAAGGGCTTCTTTCAGTCTCGCATGGCTATGAGCTAATGTAGGGGCCTAGATAGTTACCAAATTTATTTTGGGGGTCCGTATTATAATTAAAGTAGAATGGGCCCCAAAACCCTGTTCTAATGATTAAGGCCCTTATCGTATGTCAGACGAAGTCTCATTGGCTTGAAAAGAAGGATCAGAAGTAGGAAAGACCGTCTCGCAGTGTTCCGCTCGTAGGTTAGAAGGGTTTACGGCCTCGGGTTTGGAGTGTGGGGGTTGGGGCCTCAAGAAGCCCCGGAAGGCTTTTAGGATGCATGGTTTAGAGCCTCAAAAGCAGTCGACACGGGGTGTTAGGGTTTAGAGTGTGGGATTTGGGGGTCTCTGTAAGGAAGGGGAAGCCAGAGGAAGTCTCAGGGCGAAGGGTGAATGAGCCTAAAGAAGTGAAATGACAGAAAAGTGGCCTCCTCGATACTTCGGGAAGGATCCCACATAGCAAACACAACACAGTCACTCAACTAGGCAGGGACGACGCGGTTGGATACAGATTCCCAAAACCATGCAGCAGATAGAAAGGCTTCAGGGCACCAACTCCGAAGCTTTTCCCCCAAGGAACGAGGCCCCTAAACAAACCCAGCAGGAGGTAGGCCCTACAGTAGGGCCCCCGGATGCCGGAAACCCTTCCTCAAAATGGCCTCCCAGAAGGTATACTTCTACGAATCCTCCGGCTCTTTCCATGAGGAGGACAAACACTCAGCCGCTACCACAACTACCACTCCTTCCGATTGCCTGAGTCGAGAAGGCAGCAATAAGACTGTGTTTCCATGGAAATCTTGGCGTCCGGAGGCAGAAAGGAAAAGCCCTGACCCGCAGGCCGCGCATTGGCTTCGAGAAAGAAGCTTAACGAAGGAAGCCCTACACCCTTTGCAACCATGCCCCATGCCCCACCTCGGTTGAACTCGAGTTGACCGTGCGGGAAGACTCCGCGGGAAGAATGGGGAAACTCTCAAACCAGCGGAAGCCGTGGTCTTGGATCAGATAACCTTGGCTTTGCTAGGTTTTTTGAGAGGTTGCGATTTTTTTTGCTTCAGCACTCACAGCTAAGCGGATCAGAGGGGCGACAGTCTGTAGGACAGGATTTATGGAGCCAGCTGCACCTCTCAGACATGGAGCCTCTTCGGGAGATCATGGAGCCCCTCCAGCCCACTGAAATCCTCAAAACAAGCGATGGAGCCTTCCACCTTCCACAGCTTCACATTTAAGGGAGTCAACTTCGGGGCTCCTAGACTGCGATCTACTAAGCACCCTGAACCCAAAACAGTGCAAACCCCTGAACCCCTGCAGTGTCGTAGGCAGCTAGGCTGCGCCCTTGCTTGTCCACCTGAAGTCGGCTTGCAGGCTTTTTGAAGAGACAGGTCCACCTCGTCAGGGGGAGAGCGTGAGGAGGGATTCTTGGAACTTCAGGAGGGCTTTTGCTAGTGACTTCAGGCTAGTGTAGGGGCCTTAATGGTTAGAACGGGGTATGGTATAATATACTGCTTATGCTTATAATAAGGAACCCTCCTGCTCATGAGCTTTCGAAGCCGAGAGAGGGCGAGTGAGATCGAAACACCCTCTCCTCTTTCCATAGAGCCCCCGTGAGATTATCGGCGACTAAAACATGAGACTCACAGAACATTAGGGGGCCATGGGGGGTCTCTCTGTGCATCTTGAAGGAATCCCAGAAGACGCACAGGACAGGACGGGTTTTCGGGGTGCCTACAAGCCCCGCAGGTGTACAGAAAGGGTGGGGTATTTGAGAGCTCAGATCGAACCTTACCGCAGCGGAGCGGGAATGGACTTCGGCGTAGATTGTGCTTTGGGGCATAGTATAGGGGCCTTAATAATTAGAGTATAGGGCTTTGGGGTATAATTCTCATATTTGCTATGATCATTATGTAGGCCCTTTTTTCAGGTGAAGTCTGTGCTCCACGCCCACCAGCGTCCAAATTCTGTTGCCAAGGCGCAAGTCTTTGCAAACAAACTTCATGACCATGCGCTCCTGAGCACACATGGAATTCACAGAAACTTAAGGGGCCCTGTTACTACAGGAAACGGTAGGATCCTTTAACCCTTAAATGCCTTAAATCATGTACCCGAATCTTCAAGCCCTGAGGACACCCAATCACGATGAGGACCCCGAAAGAAGATGCCACTAGCCTAGAAACAACACCTCATCTGTTGAAGAGACACGGGTAGTTGATGTTGCAGCGGCACAGTGGCGGAAAGGGAACATGCATTGGCAATATAGGGCTCCATAGATTGAGCATAACTTCAAAGGGGCTGTACAGACTCAGACTTTCTCTTGCGAACACATCAAGCCCCCCAAAACATCCTGAACCCTACAACCTCAGACCCTGTATACCAGACCCAGTCCCGAAACCCGTTATGCCCAAATGGGAGTTTCCGACAACAGGGGACCCTAATAAAATACCTTAAGCCGTAGGATCCTTGTCATAAGGACCCCAAAATACGGCACCCCTAATTTTTCGGAAATTCCCAAATTCTATCCTAGCTAGACAGACCCCAAAACTCCGTGCATCGAAGGAGCTGTTGTGATGGGGATTTTCGAGGCGGTGAGCCGCGTGATTAACCTCAACTCATGCTGCAGCGGCACTTTTGATTTTGGGCTCTCTGGTTCAATAATGAGACTAGGAAAGATATCTCGTGGGGGCTTGGAGCTTCTATGGTAAATTGAACCTCAAGCCTTCGAATGAGCAGCACATCAGCCGCGACGACTGTCTTCTTGAATCCAACTCATGGACACGACGCGCTAGGCCCAGTCATCTCAAACCAAACCCATGTTTTTTATGCTGTTCTTTCGGGGCTAGGAGTCCTTGGAATGCAAACCAGGTCGCCGCAGGCCCGTGGCAAAGCCAGTAGACCGTAGTTTGGCCTTGACATGTGAAAAAGGTCGCGATAGAAAGATGTCCTTGCAGTCTTCTGGTTGTAAGATCCAAGATATCAAGACCCCTATACTATACTGCCAATTTGTTTGACCAGTGTTGAAGCTTGACGACAAAGAAAACTGGCAACAACCACGCCACCAACAAGGACCACTGTCACGCGCTGTTACGACATGTTCACAAAGAGCCAATAATTGGGAGCGTTTGTCGCCCAGCGTATTGGTCTCCAGCTTCAAAAGAGAGGAGACCCTTTGAACCTTTGTGCTGCACATGCACTAACTACCTGACACCAGCCTTAGAAGCAGGTTAATTACCAGTTCAATGTTTTACACACCTTAGACTAAGTAGATGCAACAGCTTCAAGAATCCTGTTGCGTTCGAACTGGGATGCAAACCGGCCTATGTGCTACGGCCATAGACCCAAAACCCCGTCATCCGTCAACCCTACATCCCAAAGAAATTTGAGTGCTACAACATCCTCTGCTTCCGATAGAGGGAAGGCAAGCATGATCAAACATGTCTGCGTGTGTGCGCATTCTTGGGATCCCTATGGACAGAAATCACCACCCCAAAGAAGCAAAGCGCGTAACAAACAAACACCCTCTAGAGCATAAACCACACTTCTCAGAATCTAGCAGCAGCCGACCAACAATCTTTCATGGTAACTTAAACTTGGCTTCAGGTCCTTTACACGGCTAGTCTGAAAGCCTGCGAGCAATCATTATCAAACGGTCGCTGAAAATGACGGAAGTTTCCTACCAATAAGGACCCACCCGCCACACCCCAAAATCCGACACCTCTGCTTGCTCCAGGCCCTGCTCCTGAGAAGAAGTTGGTTGTTCCAATCGCATGCGTGCGTTTTCAAAGCGATCATATGTTCTGGGGGTTGAGATAATGGACTTGCTTTTTTGAGGTTGCTTTGTTTTTTGAGCCTCCCTTTGCTCAGCCTGGTTAGGTGCCAGAAAGGAACTTTAGGCACTTTAGGCCTTAGGTTTTGAGGGAGGTGACCGGATTTTCGGGACCATAGAGGTTTGAGGATGTTCCTGAATCGGGTGGAGTAGAGCCAGACTGAGCCAGATAACTGAAGATAGTGACTATATAATAGACTATATATAGATAACACGATAACACTCTCTGCAGAAGATCCGAGTTGTGGGCCTCTGCTCGGCTAATTACATTGCCGAGGTTTCAGAAATTTCTGCCCCGTGTTGTAGATTATATACCCGAAACCCCGATAGTAAGCCAGGACGAGCCACAAAGTCGCATCCAGACTTTAAGGCCCAAAGCCAAAATCCCAATATGGGAGCTTCCAAAAATTTGACACTCACACTCGGACAAGCCTGGCAAGGTCTGCAGTAGTAGGTTCGACGACTTTACGTTAACCAGCCCAACAAGTCGATTCACTCATCGGGCATGCTGTCAGAAGGAACACACGAAACGACAGCCATAAAATGAGGGGTACCTTATTTTGGGGTCCGTATAATCAGGATCCTACTATTAAGGGTACTATACTAGCGTCCCCTATTTTCCGAAACTCGCAATATTGAGCTTCTAGCCAAGTCTCTCTCGAGGCAGCCACCATCTCGGCATGCAGCAGAAGATACAAACTGTGCGACACCTCTCCTGCATGTGGCGCAGTAGAAGGGCCGAGAGAGAACTAGCAATAATCGGATCTCTCCTGATTCTAAGCGGTGCGAGTTTCTTGTCTACCCATAGGCCCCAAAGTAGTTCCTTTCTGTGGTCGATCCTTTAAAGTTCTCCCAAAGAAGAACTACTATGGGGCCTATGGGTAGTGAATCCCAACACCCGACTCCAAGGCTGCGCAACTTTGGGCATCGAAGGGTTTAGGGTTTCGACGCTCTCGCAACTCGGACTCGCCTGACGAGGTCTCTGGTGCAGTGTACTTTGACAGTCGGTCTCTACGGACTGGATGAAGGGTTTAGGGTTTGGGTTGTCGGGTTTAGGGAGTGCAACCGCGCCAGCAAGGAAGGCTCAACCGCTCTGCCGTTTGACAACATTTGGGGGCGCATTCCTGGCTTTGGAAGCTTATAAGTCGACCAGGACACAAAGCTTTTTCTTTGCAGAACCAGCATGGGAAGAGCAGGGGATGGCAAGGGTGCTTCAGACAACATGCGAAGGACTCGAACACAGACCCGTCATAACACGATCAGATACCGCAACAACAATCGGGAGCCCATCTCTCAATAAATGCCTGAAATCATTGCAGCTGACTGACTCTCTGCAGTGCGCTCCACACCCGCGCCCAGGAGTGGGGGCCGCCTTGCACCATCGATAAATACAATTTCCATTGCGACCCCTCACTCGCTCCAACAGAATATACCCGGACCCCTGTTCAAGCGCTAGTTCGACATGTCAAGAACTAGAGATTTCACAGTCCTCAATGCAGGCAAGGCAGCAAGTCTGCGTAACACTGACGACGGAGGAACAAAAACTTGTCCAACTACCATTCCATTGCGAAGGGGACCCGCACTCAGACCATGAAACATCAAACATACATGAAACAACTCCTGCAAGAGAGACCGACAACGCAACCAGGGATTCCATCTCAGCCACCTCAACATACACCAGACACCGCCAGATACTAATATAGGGGCCTTCATAATTACCTATACTTTTTCACGGCTCCTCAGTATAATTATATAGCAAAATGCACCCCAAAACCCTACTCTACTTATTAAGGCCCCTATGTTAGGCTAACCAAAAGCACAAAGCGAGTCAATGGACGGCCAAGACAAAGCTGTCTCAAACGAAACGGCTAATGGCATACCAGGACTGCCACTGACGACTGCATACGACAGTTACATAGCACATGGGCTATCCGTAGCGGCTTAGTGGTTTACAGTCTGCTGTACCTATACCCACTGAGGACTTATTCTTCATTTGGGTAGTTGTCAAATTAAGGTCCGATTTTGCGTACCAAAAAAGGCGCCATATTATGATAGGGACCCAAAATGGACCCTAATCTTGACAACCAACCATTTGCTGCGATTAAGGGCTTCTGCAGCGAGGCACTCCCCAACCGGTGGGTAGGCGGCAGCTATTTGCCTGCAGGCAGTGATCGGAACCCTAAACCCTAAAGTAGTAGTGGTAGTAGTAGTAGGTGGTAGTAGCGGCAGTAGTAGTAGTAGTCGTCGTGGTGGCGGCGGCGGCAGCAGCAGGAGTAGTGGAGCAAATAGTAGTAGAAGTAGAAGTAGTAACAAGGTGTCTCGAGGTCGCTCAAGGTCGGCTTCAGGACTCCAGGTCAATTGACAGCTTCTGTTGGGATTTGTGTTCAGGCTTTACTTACCTTTTGGTTAGTAGGGAAGGGAAGAATGGTAGTAATAGTAGTTATACTTGTACCCCATTCCTGCATTTCCTACTAACCAAAAGTAAGTTTAGGGCCATACCCCTGCATAAGTCATGATGCTCATGAGGCGCCTCCCCCCTCCAATGAAGAAGCAGGTCTCATCATTTTCATGATATTCAGGTTCATGATGGAGACCAAAACATTTCATATCACCCTGACAGCAACAATGATGTAACGATTGCACACCAACATACCAACCGGAAGATCATCACTGCCATACTCTAAACCCAAACAAACCCCGTAAAACCTAAGGCCTTAATCCCAAACCCCGGTAGAACCCTGACGCCTACAAGCTGACATCGTCTAAAACAAGAGCTGAGCTGAGCCACAGGTCTGCCATCGCCGCGGCGGCCAAGCAGAAACAAATCGTCGCAAAGCCCAAGAACCCTTGATTCAGCAATATGACCTGGAGACAACAAATGAACAGCGATACATACGTGTGTGTATATATATATATATATGTATTTATGTATACAGTTATAGGGCTTCGGGTGGTTATGCATGTCGTACTTTCAATGGGTATTTTGTGTTTGTGCTGCCGTGGTTTAAGGCCTCTTACGGTTTCAGGCCTCTTTTCTCGGATGAGGTGGGGCTTTGGGTGCATTGTCTTTCGGATGATCAAGCTTCCCGGCTGTCTTGGTAGCACCACTTGAATGACATCAGCGTTCAAAATGCACAGATTAGAAGGTGCTTCTGCAGCGTTGTGCATGGAGCTTTGGCACT